GGGGTCGGGGGTAGCTGGCCGAGGCACCCAGTGCTGGGGACCCCACCTCCACAGCAGATGTTTCTGCACCACCTTGTCCTCTGTGGAAGCCTCTCACCTGGGAACTCCCAGCTTGAGATGGCGGGGGAGCTGTGGGTTTACAAACCACCCCCCTTTACAACATGGGGTGGAGGGTGCTGTGTAGGAGAAAGAGATATACAATTTGACTTATTCCAAAGGCCAATTTAACATCAAACTACACATCTACCGACTTCATGTACCTAAGAGGTGGAATGATAGCAAGAACTCCGCCCAGAAAACCCCTAACCTCTGAGCCTTCAGAGACCGATTTGAATAATAAGTCCATCTCCTGCGTGGCCTGCCTTACTTCAGTTAAACTCCTTCTTTATTGAAAAAAAACAAACAAAAAAACTCAGAACAGAAAAAACGAACAAAATCCCTTCGATTAGTGATTAATCATCTCCCCCTAGTGGTCGAAGAGTGTATAGGAAAAGTATCAAAGCAAAAACAAAACTCCCAAATGCTCTTCACAAAAAACCTACACCCAGCCTGGGCAGTGCAGCGTGACCCTTGTCTCAACTAAAAATAAAAAAATTAGCAGGGCCTAGTCCCAGCTCCTCGGGAGGCTGAGGTGGGAAGATAGCTTGAGCTCAGGAGTTCGAGGCTGCAGTGAGCTATGATTGTACCGTTGCACTCCAACCTGGGGGACACAGCAAGACCTCATCTCCAAAAAAACAAAAACAAACAACAGAAAAGCCGTGGGCACCGCTGGCATGATCAGTGGTTTAGTCCAGCCCTTATGTCATCTTCTACCTAATTTTCCAAGATGGCCAGATCTTCCACAAATTCCAAAGTGTAGCTTTAAATCCCAAAGCCTAGAAGAGCACTTGTGTTTAGCACATGAGTGTCTACTGGTCAGCAGATCCCCCGCCTTGGACTTCTGAGGCACACAGGTGGGCTCCCACGACTGCCCCCGGGGCCAGCTCACCTGGACGCACACAGCCTCCCTCCCCCCAACAATGAAAACACTCTGAAACACTCTCACAGGGGTCTGGCACCTGTAGGAGGAAAAGAGGAGAAAGGAGGGTACGGAGGGCAGCCTATGAGGGGGCCTGGGGTCGGGGGTAGCTGGCCGAGGCACCCAGTGCTGGGGACCCCACCTCCACAGCAGATGTTTCTGCACCACCTTGTCCTCTGTGGAAGCCTCTCACCTGGGAACTCCCAGCTTGAGATGGCGGGGGAGCTGTGGGTTTACAAACCACCCCCCTTTACAACATGGGGTGGAGGGTGCTGTGTAGGAGAAAGAGATATACAATTTGACTTATTCCAAAGGCCACGACACCTTTTTTTACAAAGGCATTTTATTTTAGTAAACAAAATACTGGTTCTTTTATTTATTTTTCTAATTTCAATTTTAATTTTTTTTTTTTTTTTGAGACAGAGTCTTGCTCTGTTGCCCAGACTGGAGTGCAGTGGTGCAATCTAGGCTCACAGCAACCTCCACCTCCCGGGTTCAAGCAGAGAATTCCTGCCTCAGCCTCCTGAGTAGCTGGGATTACAGATGTGCACCACTATACCCGGCTAATTTTTGTATTTTTAGTAGAGATAGGGTTTTACCATGTTGGCCAGACTGGTCTCAGACTCCCGACCTCAGGCGATCCACTTGCCTTGGCCTCCCTAAGTGCTGGGGTTTCAGGTAAGAGCCGGCATACCCGGCCAGGACTGGTTCTTTTAAAAACATGGACAAATTCACACTATTGTAAGTGCAAGGTCTAGGTTGGGAGTTTATCCTCTGACAATGTATTCAATAATTAAGTATTTCTTCTCTTTCTTCTCAGCTGGAGTCCACTCAAGCTGACATTTACATGGCAGAATCTAGAAGGGAAAACCAAAGGGATGAGTAGGAAATGTTTGATAAGAGTATACCTGAGGTTTACTGCTCAGCATAAAGACCTCTGCTCAGCCATTTAAACTTAACAAGTGGACACCACTCAAGTCGATTGCTCAAGTCTATTTATTAACGAATGTATCACAGTTTCCCTTCCATCTGAAACACCCCACCCCCCTTTTATTTTTTACTTTTTTTGAAACAGAGTCTCTGTCGCCCAGGCTGGAGTGCAGTGGCGCAATCTTGGCTCACTGCAACCTCTGCTTCCCAGGTTCAAGTGATTCTCACGCCTTGGCCTCCCGAGTAACTGGGATTACCGGTGCGTGCCAGCACGCCCAGCTAATTTTTATATTTTTAGTACAGACAGGGTTTCGCCATGTTGGCCAGACTGGTCTCGAACTCCTGACCTCAAGTGATCCACCCGCCTCGGGCTCCCAAAGTGCTGGGATTACAGGCATGAGCCACCGCACCCAGCCTGAAAACCCTTTTAGTTTGAAGGAAGTCTCTAGTCTTTAAAAAGCTGCCAGCCTACAGAGGAAGCCCAGCTCCCTGAGCTGCTTCTAAGCCATCCAGCCCTGACTTAACTGCAGGTCTCTGGTGATGCTTGTGGGAGGGACGACGCCTTTATGATCTTCCATCTCATCTTTTCTTCCTTTGATCAGTTTAGCACACAAAATGGGGATTGTCAGGAATATAAATTCAATCAGCAACATTTTAATCTAAGCTGCCTTCCCTCACCCTTTTTAATTTCTCTCCCCCCCATCGTAATGCCTACTCCTAAATTTCAGTCAATAAAACACCTTAAAAAAAAAAAAGAAAGTAAGTAACTTCTTCTATCTAGCAAAAGCCTACAGTTCACTGAGGACCAGCAAGTGAGCAGATGCCAGAAGGGGTAAGTAACAGAGAGCGAAGCGTCCCTGCGAGCTCACTTGCCTGTATTCGGGAAGGGAAGGTAGTGCAGCTTGGGCTTGGCCGTGCTGATTGAATGCATTTGACCTGGGATCGATTTCTGGTTCTGTTCTTCACCATGTAGAGTGAGCCATTCTTTCAATCTGAACATGCCTCACAGAGTTATCAGGGCTGAATAACACGGTTGTGCATGAAATGCTTAGCAAAGTCCCCAGCACAGAATAATCACTCAGTAGGTGTTGCTACTATTCCTCATCAGTAGGCCTTTAGCCTCAACAAGCCTGACGGCACTGCAAAGGTATTCCTACTGACAGAAGTGTGGAATCTCAGAGTGGGCTGGGTTTGGGAGGCCACTTAGCCCAGTGGTTCCTACCTGTTGCTGAGAAGATAACCTAAGGATTATCTAATGGGTTTTCAAAAGAGCAGAGGCTGGGCACAGTGGCTCACGCCTGTAACCTCAGCACTTCAGGAGGCTGTGGTGAAAGTATCGCTTGAGCCCAGGAGCACAAGACCAGCCTGGGCAACACAGCAAGACCCCTTCTCTACTAAAAATTGTTTTAAAAACCTCACCGGCATGGTGGCATGCTCTTGTAGTCCTGGCTACTCGGGAGGCTGAGGTGGGAGGACTGCCTGAGCCCAGGAGGATGAGGCTGCAGTGAGCCGAGATTGTGCCACTGCACCTCTCTAGCCTAGCTGACAGAGTAGGATCCCATATCCTAAAAACAACAACAAAAAACCCAGACACCCAAACCTAACCAGAGCCATTATGGAATCTCTCTGGGCTGAAGCCTGGGAATCTTCATTTAAACAAACACCTGGGCAATTCTGATCATTAGCCAGGTTTGGGAACCACTGACCTAGAACCCCACCACCACCACATTTGAATCCTTTTTTTTTTAGAAAGGGTCTCGCTCTGTCACTCAGGCTGGAGTGCAGTGGTGTGATCATGGCTCACTGCAGCCTTGAACTCCTGGGCTCAAGCCATCCTCCACCTCAGTCTCCCGAGTAGCTGAGACTACAGGCATGTGCCACCACACCCAATAAGCGTGAGGCTAAGCTTTTTTTTTTTTTAAGTTTTTGTAGAGATGGGGTCTCACTATGTTGCCCAGGCTGGTCTTGAACTCATCAGCTCAAATGATCCTCCCACCTCTGCCTCCCAAAGCACTGGGATTACAGGCATGAGTCACCACACCTTGCTGAATCCTCTGATTTTTAAAGTACAGCACTCAACCTGCAAAGTGAAGAAACGGCATCAACACACTGGAATCAAGGTAATTGTGAATTGTCATGTGTTAAATCTGTAACAGGGGCTTACCAGTAACTTTCTGGTGCTTTGATGTACTGTAACTCCCCAAGTATGTTCTAAGCCCGCCAGTGTGTACTGTGATAGGCACTGGGTGACAAGGATGACTGCACCCTCAAGCCTAGTGAGGAGGTCCTTGGGAAGAACCTAATAAGCAAGGCCAAAGGCCATGGTGGCAGAGGAATGGCCTGTAGGGGGATGGGGAGTGGAGAGAAGTGGCAAATGAGGTCTGGGTTAAGACCAGACTGGGAAGGGATTTATTTGTCATACCATGGAGTCAGACTTTATCTTAAAGATAACAGGGTTTCTTAATCTTAGAATTTCAAATGACCTTTAAGATATGGGATCCTACTCTGTCACCTAGGCTAGAGTGGGGCAGTGGCACAATCTTGGCTCACTGCAGCCTCAGCCTCCTGGGCTCCATAAATCCTCCCACCCCAGCCTCCCGAGTAGCCAGGACTACAAAAGCATGCCACCACATTGGCTAGATTTGTAAAACAATGTTTAGTAGAGAAGGGGTCTTGCTGTGTTGCCCAGGCTGGTCTTGTGCTCCTGGACGCCTCACTTCTGCAAACTTCTCCCCACACACAAATGCAGATGGTTTTAGCATGTGTGCTTCTCTGGGAAGAAGGTCCACAGCTGTCATTAAGTCCTCAATTTTTAACCCAATACCTGTCAAGAACCACTGCCACTGCAGGTTTCGAGAAGGATGAACTCATCCTCCGTGCGCCTTGGCTCAGCAGCACTCAGATCCCAGGACCAGGATCTGCACACCTGGCCCTTTATGGAGCGGTTCTACCTTAGAACAGGTGAGAGGCCACATGCCCCCACGCAGCCCTTCAGACCCGAAGGACAGGGAAGTCTCAGACCTCTCTTGTTCACTGGTCGGTCACCCCAACCCACTGGCCAGCTCCCACTCGCAAGGCCGGGTACTGTGGACTCACCTTCAGTTATCTTTTTTCTCTGATTGCTTCTTCCTTTCAGCCTCCAGTTTTTGTTGTTTTGCTTCCAATCTTTTTCTTTGGTATATTTTCACTCCAGCAAATGCCAGGCAAAGAATTAATGTTTTTGCTGCCAAGATATACAGCAGCAGGGGCACGTGCTCAAGAACCTTCAAGAAGAAGGAAGCCATGTTTACTAAATGTTCCATCACTGACATGGGAGGTTTCTCTTATGTTCCTTCAGTCAACAAATATTTACTTAGCACCTATTCTGCAACAGGCACGAGGATGGGGGCTGGGGCTACATGGGAGACCAGGCAGAAAAGGTCTCTATCCACATAGGACCAACAGTCAAGTTACAGCTCTGCTCTTTGCTGCTTGCTTGCGACTGGCTTCATGGAGGGGATCACCAGTCATCTACAGGCGTGATAACTCTGGTCTCTCACAGCTCAACCGTGTAACCTGCTGATCACCCAGGCCCTTGCTTCTGAGGCAGCAGCCAGATCCAGTGAAAGGAGCTGGAGCCCGGAGGCCTGGGTCACAGCTCTACTTTGCCACCGACTGACTGTGTGACCTGGGTCAGGCAATGAGCTCCTTTCTTTCTTGCTTTCTGAGCTCCCGCCCCTTCATCTGCAAAGTAAGAGTGAATCAGACCTTGCTTCTGGAAACTGCAGCTTTAGTATTCTGGGATTTTCTTTTGCTTCTAGAGACTCATTAGCAATGGCAATTGACGGTAAAATAAAACACAACAGAAGTCAAAACATTAAAACATAGCTACTTCCTAACTGCTCTTGCAACCCCATTCACTAAAATAAAGTCTAGGGAAAAACTATGGATTTGAATTACTCACTCTTTGCACTAGTAGGTTTTTTTGTGTGTGTGAAATTCTATATATTGCAATAGTACCTCAAAGCAAATATTAGTTCCATACATATGGTTAGTATGACCTGAATGATAATCATGTACTTTTTGTGTGATTAAAAATTCCCTCCCAAATAGTGAAAAGGTATGCTTTGGTTGAGCAATCATTATTTTAGAGGACCAGGTAGGATTTTATCCCAATGAAATCCTTATTTCTGCCAATCACTTATTATATGAAATACGAATGAGATTCCACTACGGGGGTACATGTGCACCTCCCTCTTATAGTCTAACCGAAGTTGATCTGAACCTAGTTAGTGTGTGCAACATGTTCATAGGACCAGGGGGTGGAAAGAACTTCCAAGGGGACCTAATCGACCCGCTGTTTATACGAGCAAGGAAAGTAGAGCTCCTGGAGGTTGAGCGGTTGAGGCGTCCCACAGCTCCCTCGTGAGGAGCCAGTTGGAAGGACATTCTAACCCCGGGGCCAGTCTCCCTTCCACTGAAGCCTGATTTTCAATAAACTGCAATTCATGAAATCACAATGTATGTAGATAAATGTTCCTATGATTGTATCGAAACTCTTTATGACTCAGAACTAGATGTGGATTTCACACTTAGAAGCTGTAGCATCAGCTGCTGTAGACTGGGAACTCACAGCGTGCAAACTGCCTTACGTGGCTCTTTCCCTTCTGCCCTTAGCCACCTCCAGAAGCAGATGGCTCGTCCTGACTGTGGGGGAGCTGAGAAAATGCAGAGGCAGGGAGGCCAGCAGTCAGCGAGGCAGGGCCCGACCCAGCTCCAAATGCTCCAAAGCCCAACTCTGTAGCATCACACTGTCCTGTACTGTATATGATTCATTCCTCACACCCATCCACTTCACATTTACAATATGCAAATACACTATGGCTCGGCTACTGAATTTTCCAGAGGCAACTGGACTCGCTACCTCTGAAATCATTTAACTGGTTATGTATGGATATTTGCGGAAGGGATATAGCATGATATGATAGAAATACAATGAAAATCATGGGAAGAGGCAGGGATGCAAATACTTAAATCGTTGCAATTTTACTAAAACAGTAAGAACACAAGAATACTCAGTAATTAGCTAATAGTTTTCAACCATGAAATTGTTTTAACAGTAAAGAATAAGCACGACACATGTACTTCAGAAAGATCACTCTGGCATCAGTATAAAAGACTGAAAAAGTTCCGAAAGTGAAACTTTTCAACTTTTTACTCTGGTAAATATAAGTAGCTTTAAACATTGACTTCGTTTCCAGGCTCTTCTTCCCTCAGACCCAGGCTAATCCCATCCCTCCAGTAAACCTTGACATCCTGTTTCCTTGAAGGTTTGCATTTTAGAGGTGAAGGTTTGGTGCCATGCCTACAAACCAGCTATGAAAAGAATGTGATTGTATAAACTTCTTTTTGTTTACTAGGATTTTCCAGGCTACCTGACGCACTGACTCACACTGGGAAAAGCTACTCTCTTCCAGCTTTCTCAGTCTCTCTGAATAAACCAATGGGGCCCTATTATTATTATTATTTTTCTCAAGACGGAGTCTTGCTCTGTCACCCAGGCTGGAGTACAATGGCACCATCTCGGCTCACTGCAACCTCCTGGGTTCAAGCAATTCTCCTGCCTCAGCCTCCCAAGTAGCTGGGATTACAGGCATGTGCCACCACGCCCAGCTAATTTTTTGTATATTTAGTAGAGGCAGGGTTTCACCATGTTGGCCAGGCTGCTCTCCAACTCCCGACCTCATGATCCGCCCGCCTCGGCCTCCCAAAGTGCTGGGATTACAAGTGTGAGCCACGGCGCCTGGCCAGGGCCCTATTACTAATATAATGAAGACCACATTACTGCCCATAGCTATCTACAATCCAAATAGGAAACTTAGCTTTAGCAATTGCAGGAATGTACTCTCTCATCCAGAGGTTAGAAAATGCGTGGAAATGGAAACATATCAGCCAATGGACGCCGGTGGGAGGTTTCAGTGTTCACTTTGTTTTACAGGCAGTGGAGAGGCACGGCAAGAGGCAGAAGTGTGGACTGAGAAGGATGCAGCACAAGGGCAGCAGGGGTCAAGAACATTCATAGGGTAAAGCGAAGGGCTCCAGAGCCCCTTCCTGCCCCCTCTTAGGCACTAACCTTCAGTGGTGCGAAACCCCTTCCTCCAATTTCCTTTGAACAAATCCCTTACATCTCTTGAAACATACAGACCTTCGGGGAGGAAAATGAATGCTGCCAGGGTAGACTGGATCTACATGAATTTTTTTTTTGAGACTCCAACCAGGCTGGAGTACTGTGGCATGATCACGGCTTCTCACAGCCTTGACCTCCCAGGTTCAAGCCATCCTCCCACCTCAGCATTCCAAGTAGATGGGACTACAGGCACATGACACCAAGCCCAGCTAATTTTTTCTGATTTTTTGTAGAGATGGGGTCCCACTATGTTGCGTAGGCTGGTGTTGAACTCCTGGGCTCATGTGATCTTCCCACCTCAGCCTCCCAAAGTGCTAGGATTACAGGGGTGAGTCACCGTGCCTGGCCCAGATCTACATTAACTTTTAAAAACAAAACCCTAATACCTGTGTGGTCCCCAGGCCGGGCGCGGCCGTGGCTCATGCCTGTAATCCAGCACTTTGGAGCCGAGGCAGGCAAGATCACTTTGAGCCTCCAGGAGTCTCGAGACCAAGCCTGGACCAACGTGCGCGAGAACCCCGCCTCTTCATACAAAATCACAAAGGTTACGACTGGGCATGGAGAATGCCGTACCTGTCATCCCAAGCTACTAGGGCAAGCCGAGCTGGGAGAGATTGCTGAGCCTGGGACAGTGGAGGTTGCAGTAGCCGAGATCAATGCCCCCTGGCCACAGCCTGGCAACAGAGTGACGATCCCTGTCTCAAAAGGAAAGAAAGACCGGCCCCTATTGCGAGGACCTGCGGAAGGGGAAAGGTTTGGGGTAGCCCCCGCTGGCATCTGGTGGCCTTCCCCCTCTGGCTCAGTGGGCCATGGCCAGCAGTGACAGTCTACAATGCTACCTG